AGCCTTTTCCTATACCACACTGCTGGCTCTCAGGGCCCCTGGGCTGTCTTGGGAGGATGAGAACAGCGCGTTCCATTCCATCTGGTCTGGTGAGTAACGTGGAGTGTGCCGTCAGAAGTGCGTGTGCAGACTCACTCAGGCTGGGGTGGGGCAGGCAGGCCCTGAGGAAGTCAGTCAGCTCACCGTTCCACCTGGAGCGCCCCCAGGCCTTGTGGGGAGCCCATCTGCTCCCACAACCAGTCCACGTAGTTGGAGACCTTTGTGTAGACCCCATAGACCTGCTTGCTGCCGCATTCTTCAGGGCCCCCCCATGACACCAGGCCTTGGGCCACCCAGCGCTGGGTCAAGTCATCCAGAATGACAAAGGCTCCACCACTGTCTCCAAGGCATGTATCCTTGCCACCCTCATAATAGCCGGCACAGAACATGTTCTCTGTGACACTGTAGTTACCCGATCGAGACTCATAGCTGGTTTTGCACTCAGCGTGTGGCACCACAGGTAACTTGACGTACTGCAGGACATCAGACAAGGTCCGTGTGCCACTGCTGATGATTTCATCCACTGTCACATTAGGATTGGAGATGCCCCACCCAGCTACCAGGCCCAGCATGTGGGGCTCCGGGCCTTCGGGCTCAGGACTTGGTAGGCAGATGGGCATGACATGGGGTCCCAGGGGCACAGGTTCCTGAAGCTGCACCAGAGCTATGTCATGGTTGTAGTTCTGGATGTTGAAGTCTGGGTGGAGCACCACTTGTGCAGCTGAGCTGTTGACAGCGCCTGATTTGTCCCGCACATCGTGCAGGCCCAGGTAGACGGTGACATGCTCCTTGGAGACTGGTGTCACTGTGTTGTCTCTTCGCTGGGAGCGCAGCACATGGGCTGCTGTGAGGATCCAGGACTCGGAGAGCAGAGCCCCACTCCCAAACCACTTGTCATTTGGCACCCTTGAGGTGTCCTCCACCACTATCAGGGCCTGCCACGGAAAGAGGCCGGGCTCGGCATTCCGACCCCCAATGATTCTCTTGACCAGGTTGGGCAGAGAGCGGGAGGGCTGACCACACACTGTAAGGAGAAGGAGGGAATGGGGACAAGAGACAGAGACTGGTCAGGTCAGATATATGGAAAGAGCTGCTGAAAGAAATTCACATCATTCACTGTAGATTATGCCACACGGGACCCTACTCTACATCACAGGGCCACACTAGCCTGGGAGAGTTCTGCACAGGTGTCATCTTCGACTTAGGTCTTTCTGGTCTGGCCTGTGTATGGTCTGGCCCTTCTGTAGCCAGTGCCATCGACAGACCAGACCATTTCATGTGTGGGGGCTTCCCCATCCTGAATCATTTCCAGCCAACAACACTTTCGGCTTTGACCAGCTCATATTCCAGAAGAGGCCCATGCTGCGGGTACTTAGAAAAGTTCTGAAAACCATAGGTCATGGGCTTTGAGTGATGGAAGGAAACTAAAAGACTGTCCGGCGGGTCACAGCAAACACTGGGCTGGGAGTCAAGATACCTGGGGACTTGACCCAGCTTCTCTCTCCTATGTCCTGTGTGACTCTAAGTAAATTTGTCTCTTAATTTTTGATCTGCTAAATGAAGCAGTTGGCCAATATGATCTCCATGGATCCTTCAAATTCCAAATTCCCTCAATTTTTATTTCATTTTCCATGGCTATCCCCATTTTATGGGAGGAAAACTCTCCAGAGGTTAAGCAATTAGCCTAAGACACATGACTATTAAGTTAGTAGGGGAATTAACTAGATTCTAAGATCAATGTCTTGTCCCATATCCCACAGTACCTCACTACGTATACAGATCATGGTCATGGGCTCTGTAACTTTTTCTTCTTTGGCCTAAAGGACTCATGCTATGAATGCATGCCCAGGGCATCCAAGGTTAGGGGAAAGTGGCATAATCTACAAGCAATGATGCATGGGCTCTGCTCTTAGCCACCCATCATTGCACCCAGGAACCATGTAGTACCTTCAGGGGAAGAAGAAAGGTCTGATCAAACTTCGTTCCACTGAGTTGTACCCCGAGCATGCACATGCACCACCAGCCTCCTGCAGCCAAATGTCTTTGGCCCATGAGCAGAGAGGGTCTTCAGTACCAGTCCCCTGCTGGCCAAGAACAAGCTCACATGGGCCTTCCCAGCAGGGCTCTTAGGCTTGGGAGGTGAGCCTGGTGTGAGTGTGGGCTTCCTCCTGGTTGCAAATGGCCAGGCTACATTCTTTGGTTCTGGATACTTTCAACAATTCTTTAAAGACCAAGGAATATTTGTGTTTTCTTGGCAACTTTGGGAGGTCAGGCTTTCAGCGACCTAATGTTTTTCAGATGCTCTTCTTCCTGATGCCAAAAGCTTCTGACATGATCCTTAGGCACTCTGTCCTTCACATCAGGCCAGATGTGAGCTGGCCTTTGCTAATTCTCTGTGGCCTGGTCTTTCAGAGTTGAAGGCCAGACTCCCAATTACAAGCAGCAGCCTACAAGGTGACATCTCAAGGCAATCTGTGACTGGCCCTGCACAACAACTCACTTAGTGCTGAAAGGGCCTCATCTGGTAAGGGACATGCCTGTGGTTGAGTTCATGCTTACAACAAGGCCAGCTCTGAATGGTGCCTTTCTTCAATGTCAGAGCTTGGGAAGCTTGAAGCACCACTAATTGACAGATGGAGAAATCGAGGTTCAGAGAAGGCAAGTGACATACTCAAAGTCATTAGTGACAGAGCCAGAAGTAGAGCCTGTTTCTTCTAACTCTTGTTTTATTTTCTGCACTAAAGTCTGCTTTTCATCTTGATATGCTTTTGTCCTTTCAAGAGGTTGAATGATGCAACAAGCCTTGAGCGAGCTCATTGAAATGGGACCTTCTTTTTGGCTGCTACCCTTTTCCATCCAATCTTTCCTGGAATAAAGGAATCTTCTTGAAAAACTAGAGCTTCAGCTGCACTGAAGCCAAATTCAGACTCTAGAGCACTGGAGGTACTGAGGGAGGGCCCTTAAAACAAAAATATAATATTCTAGAATTCTGGGTCCATGAGGATGCCATGAAACATAGAGTCAAGAATGGCTCAACATTGCTTGTGTTGACAGCAAAATTCTTGGCTTCATCTTCCAGCTCTGCCCCTAACTTTGTGGATAGCTTTGGATAAATCAGTGCTCCTCACCGATCCTCAGTTTTCTCACATGTAAAATGAAGGGCAGAGAGTATTTGCTTAATAAGATTCTTTGGAAAGGTGGATGTTATGATGCTAAATAAAATGGCTTTCTCCTTTCTGGTTTGGTTTTGGGTTTAATTTTGGTGTTTTAGGAGGAAAGGATTTAGAAATCTCTGGCATGGTCCAATGGTGAACCACAGTTCTTCCCAATACCAGGTGTTAAAAGAATTTCATGACTCACTGTATCCAAGATGCTTTGTGTAAATATAGAGGATGATAACCATTGAAGGTTATAGAATGTTATGGATCACTTGGTCCTACTCCCTCACTTCTGAGGTATGGAATCTTAGCCCCAGAGATTACTTACCAAAGATCACAATAAGAAAATGACAGCACCAGGACTAGGACCCAAGCCCCTGACTCCCAGCTCAATGCCTCTTCCCCTTCCAGAGGTTGCAATGTGGCTGCCCAGGATGGAATCCACCTGCAGTGTTTTTACCTTTGGCCCACATAGTATTTTAGCAAAATGGGGATTTGGCTTTCCAGTTTTCCACAGCTCCACCATTCCCCATCTTCTCTGAGGGTTCATATTGGGTGTGCTCTGTGCCCTTGGGTGTGCTTCTGGCTAAGCCTGAATGAGATGATGGGGATCACCAGAGTATGAGTGGGTTGACCTTTCCTCCGCTTCACCTCCTCCAAGTTCTTTCTTAAGTATAAAACCCTCCCAAGTGAAGTCTTCCTAACCAGTCCTGACTCCTCCACTCCCAGACTACCACACGCAGTGAATTCGTCCTTCTGTAGGATCTCATAGCAACTGTGATGGCCAACATAGAATGCTAACATTTTCTTTGGTTCTTACAGATAATGGTAGACAACCCTACAGTCTTTCTATTTTAACATCTATATCTAACATATAGAAGCCTACTGAGTGGATATTGAGGATTACTAAAAGGTACCGTTCAGATAATACACTGTCTCAGTTTACCCCACACTCTAATTCAGTAAAATACAAATGCCACACAACATTTAACTATACTGCAAAGCTCCTGCTGTTCCAGCAAATATGTAGGTGGGGTCAGCATCACTCCTCAGTGCTGTCCTGAATGGTTGTATCTTTTAATGAATTCTGCTTGATTAATTAAGTCAATTCTGCTATTTTTGCTTTTATTAAGAGTGTATATTTCTGTGCCATGACTATTAATTTTCTTTTTGGTGTGGATTATTTGTTTCACCCTACAGAGTATGTTTGAGGCTACGGTTTTCTAGAAAGTTGATTTGAATATATGTGTGCACTATGATTGCAATGCAAATCACCTATACTTTTAATGCTAACACAAATATCCACAAAATGTCTCCCAAATCTCTATGCACAGTGACACTTTCTGTTACCACAAAGTTCTTTTTTCATCTTAGAGTGGGGTGAGTAGGTGAGCCATGGGGCTGCAGTGGTCAGTAAGACTTGAATACATTGCTCTTTGGAGGAACTTCTTATTCTGTCCTATAGTTGTCCGTTATTTGTCCTATGTTGCTCATCTCTACAACACAGTGAGCACTTGAGGACAGAGTGCCCACTTTCTTGATTTCCCTGGTGCACAGGAGGTGCACACACAAACTGTTGGAGGGAAAGCCTGGTGGGAATGGAGCAGAATTGCAGAGAGAAGAGACAGGAAGGCTCTTGGCGTGATAACAGAGGCTGAATGTAGAGGCTGGATGGTTTGCCAAGACCTGATCTTGGGCTCTCTGAGGTAGCCCTTAACTACCATGTTCCCCATCCACTCTCCATCAATAGCCAGAGCACCTTGGATGGGAGACCTGGAGGCAGAGGACTTGAGGGTCAGGTACCTGGCAGACATGTGGGCTGGCTTCTCCCCAGTACTTCATTCATCCAGACTCCTTGGGCAGAACAGGTATATATACCTGGGAGAGTGAAAATAGATGGGAGAGAAGGGAGAGAACGGTTGATTTGTAGCACATGGAAAATAGATCTGGGTTCTTGATTCTTTTATAGTAGGCCATTGCAAGGGGTCTCTCTGATGCCATTCTCTTTAGGCCAGTCCTCTCTGCACCCTGAAGGACCTTTCTAAAATTAGAATCTATGCCTTCCCTCTGCTCACAATCACCAAGAGCTCCCCATTGCCCTCACAAACAAACAGCACACTCTTCAGCATGGTGTCCAAAGCTCTGTACAATCTGACTCCTGTCTGTCTGGGGCTGCCCCCTTCCTTTGATCCAGCCCAGCCCCTGGAAGGCACTTCCTCCTCCTCAGTCACCAGCCCTTTGCTCCTGCAGTTCCCTGTGGCACACTTGTCTGCCCTCCTTTCCCCACTTAATAAACTCGTGTCCACACTCGTGCCCGCCATCTCATCTGAGTCTCACATTAGCTCTATGAGTTCCCCTTTTGAAAAGTGAGGGCTTTGAAGCTTAGAGAATTTTCTTAGTACCAGTCTGTGGCAGAGGCAAAACTGATTGGCTTTACCGTCTCCCTGAGGGTTCCTTCTCTGCCAGGGGCTCTGAGTGTGCATGTGAGGGTTTTGGGGGTGCCATGTGGCCTAACCCGTGGGATGTCAGCTTGAGGCAGGGAGAGGTAAGACATGCCCCCAGGTGTTTCTCCTTCCAATTCCTCCCAAACTTCGGCCAGTAGACTGGCTGCCTCAGCCCCCAGTCCAACCCTGAGGCCCAAATGGTACAAGGTGGGAGTGGGCTGGTTTAGCATGGAGGGCTCACCTGTGATATTGTGGAGCATCTTGTAGTAGGGCTGCTGGCAGGAGTATCGGATCTCAGATTTGTATGTGGTAAGTTTGTTCCTGGTGGAGAAGGTGATTTGCCCATGTTTCAGCTCTGCTGGGGCTCCACAGTCTGCAACTGAGAGAAGAGAGTAACACCTCTTAATTACCCTGTGCTCTTCTCCTTGGGGCCATATGAAGGATTTGTCTCATATAGATGTGCAGGTTGTGCACTGCACACAAGTTCAGAGAGCAGTGCTCTAGTCTATGAGAATGGTACCCTAAAGATTTTACAGGGCCTTTGCCACCATGAGTAGCTCTGCTTTTGGGGTCTCTTCCATCTACTGTGGCACTACTGTGTGGCCAACTCACCTGGCCTTGTGTCAACTCCAGGGCAGGGTCAGGGCTGCTGAGATTTAAGCAGACCCCAGTCTCTTCCCCACATAGTCCTTTCTTTGACTTCCAGTTCTATTGTGCAATCCTCTTAGTCTCTCCTGCCCAAGCATGAAGCCTGTAGCTCATTGAAAAAACTCTGGCTGACACGAACCAAGGAATCATCAGTTCTTCCAGACCCGACCACATGCTGAGCAAGAGCAGTTAATGTGCTCACATTGGTGCCTGGCATAAAAATACCAAAAACAAACAGAAAGACAGCAGCTCCTGCATGAACACACAGCCCCACCCTGCTGGCTTTCTGTGGGCATCCTGGCCACAGAAGGTGGGAGGTGGGGCCCAGGGTGGGCTAAGTTTGAATCGTTCACCTGCTTATGTTCTCCAATTGTTGGGGCTGGATGTTGGGCTTGGCTGTAGGATGCCTGCTCCTCAGAGGTGGTCTTAGGGGGTTGCCAGCACAAAGTCCAGTACAAGTCTGTCAGAAGCCCAAGTCATGGGCTGAGGACCCAATTTATCAAACGGTCTCTTCAGGGACTTCTTTTAGGGGGTGGTGCTCATTTCTAAGGGCATCTTCATTTTAGGGCTAACAGCCTATGTCAGAGTTGAAGAATCACAGAAAAGTCATAGATAGAACTTTGTAGTTCATAAGGAAGCCCAAAGGTGGACAATCCAGAACACCTTTACTTTACAGATGAGCCCAGAGAGAAGATTTGACTGGCCTAAGGTCACACAACGAGGTACAATCAGAAAACTGGACCTGATTTTGAATTCAGGTTTCTTTTGAGAAAACCAACTAACAATTCCTAAGGATCTGTTTTCTAGGTAAAGTGGCTTAAAATCAGTATTAGCTGGGTAATGATGGACATTAACTATTAATCTTCTGATAATTTCATAGGACAGCACTCCACAAAGAAGAACTTCCAGAATCCCCCCTCCTTGGGAAGCAGAGAGAGGGCAATTTCCCCCTGAGATGCTACCCAGAATTTGTGATTTTTAAGTTTAGAACTCTAAATTTATCATTTTGATCGAATAAAGAGTTACCTAATTTAAAACATAGATGGCTCCAAGGCCCTTCGATGTGGAGGAGAGTGGTGACAGCTGAGGGTAACAGCAGGTGTCTCCTATCCACAAGGAAGGCAAAAGCCAAGAGAACTGGCTAATGTTTTGTCTTGACCTCTAGTCTCCCTAGACAAATCGTTCCCATTCATTTTGATAACCCAAAACTAGAGACACTGTTCTACTCTGTATGATGAAGGTCAGCACTAGGGTCACCAGAGGTGATAACATCTATTATTTAAAGATATAAAACAGTTTTAAATGTTCTTTCCTGCTGAGTCTCAAAGCAGATCTTTCTTCCTTTTTTAGGAAATACCATTCACTGGTGCCTGGATCTTGGTATTACTATTGTGTCTCTGAGCTTTGGTTCATTTTACCTATCCTCTGGACCTAATACCTAGTTCCAGGGGGAGGAATTGCAGGGTTGGGCTTAGATCCTAGAAGCCCTGGCTAGAAGTTCAGTCTATTGAGAGACTGTTACTTGGCCAGCAATGGTGGGGAGATATTTCTTGAGTACCTGCTTTCTCATCACTCTAGAGAAGGAACTTTGCTGGCCCTCTAGGCAGATGGAGGTGATAAATAGTATATAATAGAGGGTCGCTTCAGCTTGGGACTTCTCCCAAGTCTATAGTATCAGGTGAAGAGCCATGCCTCTCTGGGACCTGGAGACAACTTCCCTTTCCCGGGGGCCTTGAGCCCTACCTGGTGCAATCAAAGATGCTATACCCAGAGCCTCCTTCCTCAGCTAGCCTAGCCTCTTTACTTTGGAAGGGGTCTCATCCTTTCTCTAACACTCCCTCTGGCCACTTCCCCACTCTGGAATCAAAACGCTCTTCCTTTTTTCCATTCCCTAGGATGCCCTTTCTCATCATTCCCTGGGATGGGACGCACCCCACACCCTGTCTCTGTTGTCACTACTGGCTGCCATTTATTTTCCTTCAGACACATCTTTCTTGACCTGCCATCCTGAGTGTGCTTTGCCACAATCTGGGGCTTCCTGCAGAACAATGCACCATGGGCTCCCCTGGCACTCACCCCAGCATCTCTTGGTCCCCACCCTCGGTGCACCTGTGCTCCAGCATCACACACCCTCACTGTGCCGCTCACTCGCCTGCTTTCCCCACACGGGAAACCATGTGGTCCACGCTCTGGCCACCCTTGAGGCCTTGATCAAGCGCTGCTTCTCCTTGAAAGCCTTTTCTCCATCTTCTACTTGGAGAGGGCTGCTTCCCTATTTCCCCTTGCTGAGGCCTCTGTTCATCTCTCTGATGTGTGCATCTTATGTTGCCCAGTGTTGCAATTATTTGGGTCCATATCGGATATTCTAAGTTAGGATCCCCTCTATCACACTGAGTAAAATATCTGTTACACATTGTGGGCTTAAACGTATTGACTTAACTGATGCCCGTCTTGACTGCCCACCTCATCTCCGCTCTCGGGGGCACCCCTGCCCTAGGCTGGCACTGCCGTCTCCGGACCTGCCATTGTCCACCTGCACAGGATTCTGCCCTCGTCGAAAGCCCTCATTAATCACCACATAGACTGACTGACTGGTCACAGTAATGAAGGGTTTCTCAGATGCGTCTATTCTGATTTTGTTCAGGCTGAAGCAGAGATTCCTGCTGCCACTAACAGAGCCCTTTATCGTGACCCATTGATGGCCCATGGCGCGAGAGCTGAGGACTGTGCTTTCAAGTGTGATACCTATCTTTTGAAACCTTTAATCAGGGAATTTTCAGAGATGCAAAATTTGTAAGCCCTGGTCCAGAGGAAAGAATACTAATAATGATAACGATAACGGGCTTTCAGTCCCGCGTTAGGTCTAGGTGGAAGCAAAACTTCTGTGGATGAGAATAGGTCTAGATTTCCTAAAAAGCCATGCTCTAGGAGTTATGGTTAGTTTCACACCTACTCATGGTTAGAAAGTAGCAACAGATAAAAATACTAAAGTCATAAAGTCACAGGCCTTCTGGCCCAGTTCAACTTGAAGTGTGGAGTGGATGAGGAACCAGGGCTCACTTTGACCTGGTCAGCCTAGGGCCATGTGATTGTATATGAAATCTTGTGTCTCTGGAACCAAAGTCATTTTTCCTTTGAGAATTGTACAGTCCGCTTGGAGGGTGCTAAAAAAAAATCCCCCTTGGCTTTTCATTATTTTCCAGAGTAATGTTTGAATGATGGGTGGGCCCTCCAGGAGGGAACCGTTCTCCATTACACAGCAGTTTCGACTGCTTGACGCTGTGTTGCTTTGTTCAGCATCCACACTAATCCGCACAGAAATTGGAAATGGAGCGTTGGCGGGGTAGGGAGGGGTGGAGTAGCTCTGGGGCCCCAGGGTCTTGGGTATGGTCCATTCCTGGATGTCTGCACTCTGAGGGGTCCCGTCATTCACTCTGTCTCTTGCTCTGACCCGAGTTCGTTCTCCTCATCCATTTCGGTTTCTGCCACCGTGGTGAAGATCAAAGAGGGGTCAGGAGGTGCAGAGAAAGAAAGCAGAGAGAGGAAGAGAGGGAGAGAGAGAGAGAGGAGAGAAAGAGAAAAATTAGCAAGCAAAGCAGAAACAGTTCATGCAGGAAATACAGAAATCGCTCCACCAGATTGATTAAGAATGCAGTTTAGGTACAGCCAGTGTGGATGACAGTTTGGGATTGTGGAATTTGTACCATTCTGAGAATTTGCATGGTCATAAGTCCTGGCTCACAAGGATTCCAGCATTCTGCCCCTGAAGCGAGCTTTGTTTTCATCTGGTTTGAACCTTCATTTGACATATGCATTCAGCATGGAGAGTACTTGTGTTGGGTGGCCATGGCAAGGTGGAGGCAGGGTCAGGACAACCCTCCATCATTTCCACTTCCTGTTCCAGTGCAAGTTTCTTCACTATACATGCACACTTCCTGTCTGTTCCCAAACTCTTGCCCCACAATCCCTAGGGACTTGAAATTTCTTAGTCCTACTCATCTTTGCACCTAGGACCCAGCGTATGTCTGGGATGCAGAGATGCTCGGTGAAAACCTATTCAGTGAATGAGTACAGGTGCCAGGTATGCCTGAATTGAGATTCTAATAACCCTAATCTGGGCTATGTTGGGAGAACCAGGCCATATTCAGGAGAAAAAAAAATATTCCTCTTCTTTAGTACAAAATGACGGCCATTCTTTTGTATACTAACGTAAGTCACTTAAAATAGTACCATCAAATGAAGTACTTCTGTTGTAATCGAAGTGTGCATGCTTCATTGGGGAAAAATTACTATTAAACTTTTCTACCTTCCAAAAGCATGAACGAGAGAAACCAAACCTCTGCCTAGTGAGGAGTTTGGATGTGGGGGGTGGGAGGGAAGAAAGAAGCTTTTATGAACTTTCACTTACTCCTGGTGCTCCACTGGCACAGTAGGTACATTAGCCCAATTGGTCTTGAGAAGAATCAAGAGTGTAGGAAACTGAGGCCGGAAGTCTGAGTAAATTGCTTAGGGACACTCAACTGGTCAAGTCTGGATTTGATCTAGAACTTTCTGACTTTACAAACATCCTGTCTTCTCCACACCACATTCTCTTTTGCTTCCTCCTTCACAATGCGCCCTTGCTTTGCCTTGTACAGTATTCACACAGAACTTAGTCGCAGCACTACACGTGAGCCAGGCGTTGGAGAAGGTGGTGGACATGTCTGCTGGCCTTTGAGTTCCTCAGTTTCTGGACCTTTCTTTTCTACCTGAATTTCCTGTTTCCTATAGGCATCCAACTAGTGAAAGCCATAAAATGCCCACCGCCCGCCTTTTCCCACCCTGGGCTCTGACTCCAGCCACGTTGTCATATAAAAAAGAAAGATTTGAAAAGCAAGTGTATTTTCTAAAATTCTGTCTGGGATTTGCTTCAAGAGAGCTCCTACTGACAGAGTCCCCCCCCTGGGGCTTTGGGAGTGGATCTGCCTGCCTAGAGTTAGGAGAGAGTTAGGAGAACTACAGGGAAGTGGGATACTACTCCACTGTTTATGGCAAGCCATGAAACGGGGGTGGGCAGGACCGACTCTTGCCTTTTCACCTCTCCCTCCTAAAGCCAACCCTCTCTTTGCCCCTTCCCTTTCTTCCCTTCCCACCCTCCCGTCACCACACCTCCCTTCCCCCATGCTGCCATAATGAGTTTCCTAAAACTGTGGTCTTCACAAGTCTCTAACTGGAGCGACCTGGGTAGGGGACAGGGTGGTGGCTGGTAATCTATACTTTCACAGTGCACACTAGGTGATTTATGTGGAATATATAATTTGAGAAACGCCCCAATGTATTCTAAAGTATGAAAGCTAGTTCAACTTTTTATTGCACGTTTGAGGTGAAGGATCTTGTCCATGATCACGGGGTGGGTTAGGAGCAGAGCCAATGTAAAATCTCAGGGTCTCAAGAGCCAGTACAGAGCTGTGCCCCTGGCCCCTGCTTCGCACAGGTCTACTGACCTCACAGCCTTTCCTGACGGGCCCTAAATCATGAGCTGTTGCAGAAACCTTAGTGGGTATGGCTGATGACCACATAGAGATTGGCAAGGTCATTTGGCTCTGGGCACCGGTGCTAAAATAGTTTCCTGAATTAGTAATTGCCAGAGCTAGTTTCAGAGCAGGGGACAAGCTACTTCTTTAGCAAGTTTGGCAACTTGCCTGCAGGCAGAGGTAAAGTTAGCATTTGGGAAGTAAACCGGGACCAACAAGAAGTTTCTTTTGGAATCCTAATGTCGTATTGCCTAAACAAACAATAGTCTTTCGGTCCAGCCCTCACGTGTCTGCTGAGTTACTGGCTCTACCCCTCGTTGAGCACACCCGTCAGGTTTTCACCCTTGTGTGGTCTCTGATTGGAACCCACCAATGCTGGGGAGCTCATTATCCTTATCATAGACCAGTTTTGTTCTCTTACTTTTACAGGTGGGAATCTTGTTACTCCATGTCCCATCCTTCAGGCACTCGATCTGGAATGTGTCCATCTCCACATTATCCTAGGAAGAAACAGGAAGAAGATGTGGCAACAGGGAGGAGGGGTGGGGTTGGTGGTTGTTCCCCAGTACGACCGGCTCAAATTCCATACCCAGTTGTCCTCGACTAACATTTTCCAACCACTGGCTTCCAAGGGCAAGCTTGACTTCATGGAAAAGACAGACTCTGAATTCATAGTGCCCATTCCAACCGCGGAAAGGGGCAAGGGCTGTGTGTGAGGAAGGGTTGGGGCAACTGTCCTGGAGGGGAAACCTGTACCCTTGACTCTCTTTCCAGAGCAGGGCCTCTCAAACGTGCGTAAGCATCCGTATGGCTAAAGGCTTTTGCACAAACTGCTTGGCCCCACCCCCGGAGTTTCTGATTCAGTGGGCCTGGCTTGGAGACTGCCGTTTGCATTTCTTAAAATTTTTTTTTTTTCAACGTTTATTTATTTTTGGGACAGAGAGAGACAGAGCATGAATGGGCGAGGGGCAGAGAGAGAGGGAGACACAGAATCGGAAACAGGCTCCAGGCTCTGAGCCATCAGCCCAGAGCCTGACGCGGGGCTCGAACTCACGGACCGCGAGATCGTGACCTGGCTGAAGTCGGATGCTTAACCGACTGCGCCACCCAGGTGCCCCAATGCCGTTTGCATTTCTAACGAGTGACGTGATGCTGTGGTGGGGACCCCATGTAGAGACCCATTCCGTGAGAGCTCCTCCAGCTTGACTCACACTGGACTCACCTGGGTAACATAACAGAAAAACCAATCACTGGCCCTGCCCCAGAGATCCCACTTTAATTCATCTCAGGTGAGGCCTAGGAGGTGCTTTTGTGTCTATTTTCCAAGGTAGCCAGGAGGCTCCTGGGAAGAGTGAGCCATGTGCCGCCTCTCAAATCTCTGCTTCCCATCCCAGTTTCCCCCAATCGGCCTGACTGATGAACTCCGTTAAGGTTGTTTGTCCTGATTGCAGGGCTGAACAGATCTTGATTTGTTTTTGCAATTCAAACCAGCCCAAGCTCTGATAAATGACTGTTGTGCCATTTCTAGAAGTGAGAGTCTGGGATGCATGCTTTGGATTTTCAGAGGGCTGGCATTTCTGGAACATGCTGGAGGTTTATGGGGAAGTTGGTAAATAACTTGGAGGGGCCATGGCAAGCTCCGGGAAGCCCGTCTGCCCTGGGAGGCACAGGAGCATCTCTTTGGCCCCTCCTCCCCCAGCAGGACCCTGTACCTTTAGCACTTTGTAGCCTGTGTCACAGCTGATGAGCACCTGATCTTTGAAGGAATACTTGGCTTGCAAGGGCTCGATTTTCCCGTGGACAGGAGGTTGTAGGTCCGAGCACTCATTCCCTGGTGGGGAGTAATGAAAGAGTGGTGGGTGAGAAAACAACGAAAAGGCTGCAGCAGGTGGCCAGCCCCTGCAGTGCAAGGTATGGTGCAGGGGAGACCCACAGAACTAGGTGTTGGGGGTCTGTACCTACTAGGTTCTGAAGACTTATTCTGGAACCTTGAGCAGGTCACTTTCCAACTTGGACCTCTATTTCCTCATCGGTAAAATGAGCTGGTTGGCCAAATGATTTAATCACAACACACGGTAGGAAGGATATTAAATGTCACTGAGTGCAACCCTTGTCTGAGGCCTCCTTTACAACATCTTCCGTGGTAGACGTCAAACATCTATTTGCATTCCTACAGTGACAGGGAGCTTAATACCTCCCAAACCTGTACCTTTCCTACTGGACTCCTCTGATGAAAGGAACAGTGTTTTCCTATTTCACTGAAATTTATATCCTTGTCATTGGCACTCACTGGGCAAAGTTTATTCTCTTGGGCAACTCAGTATGACTTAATCGCTCTTTCTCCCCAAGACCGTTCTTCGGAGTGTTAGAGAGAGACCGTGAACATATGCTTCTGAGTCCGCCCTTCCGAAGCCTAAATTGGACAGGATTCCCAGGCCTGGCTCCACCCCTGACATTTTTTCCTGGACAAACTCTCTGTTAATACACTCTCCATTCCCCTCCCCAGAACCAGGCATTGATGTGATAATGCAGGCAAGGCCAGGATATCAGATCTATGAGATCAGCTACAACCAGTACCCTCTTTTTCCTCGGCTTACTGCAGACCCCTGGGGCACATGGCTCTATCAGGCTTTGGGCCAGGACTGGCTGCCTTGGGGTAGTAGGGAATGAAGCCTACCGAGGCTGCCAGTCTGGGGGCCACAGGAGGCAAACCGCCATGAGGAAACGTTTTGAGCTATAGGCCCGCACTCAAATTCCTGCCCCAGACTTGGAGAGAGCTGAGCTGGGAGGGTTCTCTCCAGGCCTAATGAATCGGTGTGAAAGAGTAGATCAGGAAATAAGGTTTTTTTTGTTAGTTAGTTTCTTTGTTTATTATTGTTCTTGTTTAAATCTCTTTATGTGATTTTGAAGTGCGGCAAGTTTGAAAACTACGTCTAGTCTAACCCCACCATTATTGCTGCCCTTGCCCCCATTTTCTGGATGGTAAACTGAGTCAGGAGACAGAATGTACTTGGCCCCAACCTCCTTTATAGCAGAGCTGAGGGTCCTGTCACGTCCCCAGAGGAGTCCCAGGCCTGCATCCCTCATCCCTCAGCTACTGTCCCATGAGCTACTGAGCATGGTGACTAAGTGTGACCCATGGGGGAAGAGGCTGTATTACCTGTTGCCCTGTATGAGAGCCTCCAGCCCCGGTTCTCGCCAGAGTTGTCGCTGCGGAACAGGATCTGGACACTGTGGCTCTGGGTATTGATGGGTTCTGGGGCTCTCTCTCCACAGAAGGGCCCCCAAACTTTTGGGTCAGCTTTAATCTGTGAGGGGCAAGATAGAGAAAAAGGTCACATCTGAGCTGTGGTGGCAGCTGTCGGGACCATCTCTGTACTGAACCCCGGCTTTCTGGAAGCTTCCATGTGCACCCATAGTATTCACTCATGTTTTTAGCGGGCATTAGCATTCACCAAACAGTTCCATCTCTACTCTCTCACTTACAGAGTACAATGGACTTGGAAGTGGACAAGGCAGTCCTCTGCTCCAAGATGAACATACTATGTCTCAGAATGGGACAGAGTCCTGTCTAGGTGCATAGGATAGAAAAGACTTCTGCTCTCAAAGAAACTGCAGTCTAGTCGAGGATGGAGGCGAGGGGGGGACTAACAATAAATAAGCAAAATAATGATAAAAAATAATCATGATGGTGTGTGTGTGTATATATATATATATATATATATATATACACAAGTATATGCTATATATTTCTAATGTACGTAGTACAATCTATGTAACCTATATAATTCATCATTTATATAATAGATAAAATATTTATTTGTTTATTTGTAGACAAAACTTTAAATAGATGGTCAGGGAAAGTTTCTTCAAAGAGGTGACACTGGATTTGAGACATGGAGAATGAGTAGAAGATTGTCACTTGAGGAAGAGAGAAGAATACTTTCCAGGCAGAGAAAACAGTATATGTAAAGGTCAAGGCCAAAGGCGGGAAAGAGCCCGGCATTAAGAGCAGGAAGGAAGCCAGAGTGGCTGGAACAGGAGTGCCATAGCATGAGGTTGGAAAGGCAGGTAAGCACCACATGGTATTGAGGGGTTTATGTTTACTTCCAAGAGCAGTCCTAATCGGACCTGGATTTTATAAAGATCAGCCTTGATGTCATGGAGAACAGACTGTGTAGGGCAAGGCTAGAAGCAAGAAACACAGCTAGAAGCCTTGCCACGGACCAGGAGATAAGAGGGATTTTCCTGGAATGGAGTCAGTGGGGATGGAGAGAAAGAAGTAGGCACTATTAGCTGATCTAGATTTCCTGACTACCAGGTGTGGATCCTTCCTGTGCCTCTAGCTCGTGTTTTCTTCCATCTCCGAGGACCAGTCCTCCTGACCCTTCATCTGGTGGCTTCCACAATCTTGGGTGATATCTCCATCTTGTCACCTTATTGTGAATGGGGGGAAAGTGAAGCCCCATGAGGTTAAGTGCCTGGAGAAGGTTTACAGCATAGCTCCTGGGATACTATACGTGGCAGGCAGAAGTCTAAGATGGTCCTCGTGACCTTCACCTCTGGTGTTCCTTCATGGTGATGTCACGTGACATGGCAAAAGGGATTTTACAGGTGGCCAAGGAGCTAGTGTTGGATCAGGGAAGATCCCTAGGCTGGAGCTGATGGAGCTGGTAGACACTATTTTAAGTAATTTTTGGTCTTGGCCTTCTACCCTGGGAGAAACTGGAGGACCAAGAATATCAATTTTCCCAATTCAGCCAAGATCTCCCAGCATGGCCAGGGCAAATGTCCATTGTAGGCTTACCTTGATGTAGTCATAGGGGCAGGGCACCTCAGGGTGATCCTCAATGTCGAAAATGTCCTCAAACTGGAGGCTGACCATGAAACCCTCCTCTAGCTCTATCGTGTAGAAACATTCCGAGCTCTTAGGATAAGGGTTGGGGAAGTCGGGGCTGGTGATCACGCCGGTCCTCTGGGTAAAGAGGTTATCACTGCACTCCACTGTGGGAAACATACCAGAGCAAAGTGGCACACCACAGCCATGGCCACAGCAACCCCTTTCTCATCGGTTACTGTATGACTTTCCCACTGGTCCTGAGAGGCAATGGGAAGGCATCATTAGCCCCATGTTATGGATGGGTAGACTGAAGTTCGGGGAGAAGTGATGTATCCAAGGTCACACACCTCATAATGTTCAGAGTCAAGACTCAAAGGCAGTGAGTGTGATAAACCTTCTCATCAGCTTCTCTGGTATTGGTGTGGGGCAGAGGGGGTCTGAGAAGTAAAAGTTTTGAGATAGACTGGTAGGCGGAAACCTCTAGACCTCCTTTGTCTGCTCTCCCCTCAGCCCAGAACTCCATTAGGTCTCTGTTCAAAGCCTTCCTGATCCCTCATCCAACACGGGACACTCACACATATCCGTACTCTCTGGCCCCTGACCTCGTTCTGTTTCTCCTCATGCGGCTGACCACTGCTTGACATTGTGCAATATATTTGTTGGGGGATTTTCTTGCCCCCAGTAGACTGTAAGTTCCCTGAGCTCAGGGATTCTGCTTTGTTCGCCACTGTAGCTGCAACCAAGGATCCAGTGTCCTGGGACCCTGGCCATGGCTTAGACCTGCCAAGGCCCTTTATCTGCCACTGAACCTTTGTCCTTGGACTGACCCCTCCCAGATCTGGGATGTCAATCCTTTCTAAGCCCTTGTTTATCCTGCTCATTTGAATATGAGAAAATTGTGGCTCAGAGAGGGGGCATGGCTAACCTAAAGTCCTATAGCTGTGAGCTGCAGAGTATGGTTAGGATGAGGCCTCTTGAATTCCCACCTCTTTTCATTTCTTACACCAAGCACTCTCTGGGGGGTGGCATTTAGCCCATGGAGGCTATTTTTTTTTTTTTTTTTTTTTTTTTTTTTTTTTTTTTTTTTTTTAGGCAAGGTTGCTCTTTTTATGCATAATACACAGACAGGACATACAGTATATAAACATACATACAGTATTATCTGTGGTATTAAAATTTCATGGGTAGGGGAAATTAGGAAGATAATGTTTTAAAAGGCTCCTGGAGGCAGAGGAGAAAATGAAAACAAAGACTGAGAAGCCTTGCTCATTCTTAGTCCCCACCGGACTTAGTATGTAGTAGATACTCAATAAATACCTACTGAATAAAAACCAAGGAAAATACAGCCCTCTTGAAGAAAACTCCTGTATGTGCCTCCTTTATACTGATGGATCACATGAGGGTTTTATTCAGAAGAAAGTAGAAATTTTTTAAGGAGGAGGGAAAAGAAGTCTTGTTTCCAGCCTTTCTCTCCTCCAATGATCCCCCACTCAGCTTCCAAGTGACCTTCCTAAAACACAGATCTTTACCCTGCAGCCATACTGATCTGATGGCAATGCCCCAAACATGCCAAGTTCTACCAGGACTCTGAACATTTGTTCTCTCTGCCTGGAGCACTCTCCTTTTCCTTCTTCTTCCCACTCTGCCAAGGGCCACCATCTCTGGGACATGTCTGCTCACAGTGCCGTGCAGACTTAGGTCACTTGTGCTGAGCCCACAGCATTTGCTACATTTCACCACTTGCTTCTGTGCTGATAACCCCACTAGTCAGGGAGGCCCTCATGGAAAGTGGCTGAAGTCTTCCATTTCTCCATCCTCGCCCTGCCCGGAGGTGGCAGCAGGGTGAGCGTGTTGATTAAGACAGGAAACCAGAGATGGAAGGAATGGGGCATACTCCTCACTGTCTCTGTCTTTGCCTCTCTCCTTCCTCATCTGTTCTCTGGACTGAGGTTCTCTCGATCACAGAGGAACTTGTGAGGCCAGGGGAGTGAAGAGGTAAAGGAACGGCTGGGTGAGGCCGGGTGCATGGCTGAGAGAGAAAGGACTGGGAACCCAGCTTTTCCCATAACTGGGGCCAGGCCAGTTACCTACAGTAGGAGAGCAGAAGTTCCTGCTGTCCAGGAAGAAAGATGGCCTAGAGGCTTCACAAATGTGGTCCTTTGAGAACCTGAACGCAGACTTCCCGGCTGGCGGGCATTTCAGCATCTTCAGGCATAGGGTATCTGAGGCAGAGCTCTCTGGCTTCATTTTTACTTGTTTCTACTCCGTATCTGTTCCGCCTCTGAGCCTCCCCTAATCTTATTGAGAAACATGGCACAAAGTGGTGATATACGGAGTCATCCTTGGGCCCCACCTCGGCAGGTCCTGTTGTCCGTGTGGAGGAGGTAGCCAAAGCGGCAGGAGCAGTAGTAGCCGCCGATGTAGTTGTGGCAGTAGTGGTCGCAGGACAGCTCCTCGTCCTCCCGCTCAGTGCACTCGTCTACATCTGCAGGGCAGGTAGAGGCTTTTGGTCAGTCAGTCCACGTGGGACGATGAAGACAACAGCCATGTGCTCTGTACATGGGCCACTCCCTGTGTTAGCCTCACATAAAACCCCAAAGTAGCCATTGTCTCCATTTACAAATGAGGCAACTGGAACTCAGAGAACGGAGGCAACTTATCCAAGACCGTCAAAAGCCAGGTTCGAGGCCAGGCGAGCTGCCTCTCACGGGTGCCACTACCCCGTAAGAGTTGTGATAATAGCAGGTAGAACTCTTACCATCCCCTTTCCACAGATGATGAAACAGACAGTTGGGGCCTCTACAGAACTTACTCCAAGTCATAGAGATGATAAATGGTGGAGTCAGTATTCACACCCAGGTAGGGTAGCTCCAGAACCCATTCTTTCTTTCTAGTCCATGCAGCCCCTCTCTCTCTCTATATATATCCCACTTCCCTGGGCAGTGGGAACGTAGACATTAAAGAAACGCATGTTCTCAACCCAATTTAAAAATTTGATCATGCAAGGGCACCTGGGTTGCTCAGTCGGTTAAGCACCCAACTCTTGATTTCAGCTCAGGTCACGATCTCATGGTCGTGAGATCAAGCCCCACATTGGGCTCCATGCTGTCAGCTTAGAAGCCTACTTCGGATTCTCTCTCTCCTCTCTCTCTGTCCCTACACCACTCCCACACTCTTTCTCTTTCAAAACAAATAGATACACATCAAAAAAATTTTGATCATACATTTCCCCCTAAAAGCTAAAAGAATGGCCAACAGGCACATGAAAGGATGCTGAACATCACTAGTCACCAGGGAAATGTAAATCAAAACCATAATGAGGTACCGCTACATACCCCATCAGAATTTTAAATTTTAGAAATTAAAAAATTGACATCGAACTCTTGTACATTGGTGAAGGAATCTAAAATAGTACAAAAACACTTTGGGAAAGGCCTGGTAATTTCTTATGAAATTAAATATACACCTGTCCTATGACCCAACAATGCTGCTCCTACCTATTTACCCAACAGAAGTGAAAACATATGTTTACAAAAAGAGTTGTACAAGAGTGCATAGAAACTTTATTAGTGAGAGTCAAAAAACGGATAGAGTGCAGGTGTCTACCAATGAAAGAATGGATAAACGGACAGTATTATATTCATACAATGGAAAATTACTCTGCCAGGAAAGGAGCAAGTCACCGATGCATTACAACATGATTGAAACTCAAAAACTTTATTCTTAGTAAAGAATCCTCACTTCCAAAATATATTTTGTGTACATTCATTTATATGGAGTTTAAGAAGAGGCAAAACTCATCTATAGTGGAAAAAAAAAATCAGAACAGTTGTCACCTCTAAGGTAGATGGGACCAGACTGTGACTGAGAAAGAGCATAAAGGAACTTTCTGGGTTAACGGTAAAGCTCAACACCTTGTTAGGGGCTTGGGTTACATACAATATAAAATTTTTGAAACTCAACAAATGTACTGAAGCCTTATGCATTTCACTGAATGTACATTTTACTTTAAAAGAAGGAAAATTGTGAATAGATATTGAACAACTTCAGCAAAATGAAATGCACGGGTAAGTATTTAGGAAAAAGTGTACCACTGTCTGTCTGCAACTTACTTTGAAATTCATCAAAAAGAGGGGATTAATAGCTAGATTGAGGATGGATAGATGGGTAGATATGTGATAAAGCAAATGCAGGAAGATGTTAATGGCAGAGTCTCTATGGTGAGTATGTAGGTGTTCATTGTAAAGAAACGATCATGAGGTACTTTTAATCTTTAGAGAGAAGGGGAGACCTGGGGTGAGCCACCCATTTCTCCAACTTACCTACAGCCATGTAGTGGGCATCAAAACCCGTGAATCGCTCCTCATTGGAGAAATCTGACCGGAAAGTGATGGACATGAAGGAGCCGGGGGAGAACACTACTTCCTGGCCAGGGGTCTGCTCCGTGTCTGTGGTCTCCCTGCCACAGAAGGTTGCCAGCACCTGCTCTTCGGTTTCTACCTTTGGGATCAAAGAGGAAGGGAACAAGATGAGTAGCTTCCAAAATTAGCTTGGTCTCTAAACGAAATGAGGGAGGGGCTGCCCATGAACAGACCAGGCAGCCTGGGAAACCCAGAGAAAGAGGATTTGGGACTCTGGGACTTGAGGAAAGACACAGTGCGGGTTAAGTCCATGTGGCTGCATAGTCACTGCCTCATTCCTTTGTTTGGGTCCATCAGCAGTAGCTTGACATTTGTCATCCTATGGACAAAAAAATGACTCATCTGTCAAAACTAACTCACTATTAGAACTCAGACTTCGATAACCTCACAGATGGATTCCATATGCAACAGAAACTGACCACATTTCCAAAGACGAGAAACGAACTCCGAGGCATTCACTGAGCATTCAGTGTGTGCCTGCCACTGAGTAAAGCATGAAGCTGTGCCTGGGGAGCCAATATTCAGACTGATGAAAACACAGACAGAGCTGTTATACGGTGCGACAAGTGCTTTAACGGGAACGCAGTCACTGGGAACGCACTGGCACTCAGAAGATGAAAGATCCCATCAGAATGGAAACTACAGGAGAACGAGACTTTGTTTTCTTTGTAGATGTGTTTTTAGTTCATGGAGCAGGACCTGGCACCTAGCAATTACCCAACAAATGTTTGTTACCAAGAACTAAAGTGTGAGGCTCTTTCTGAGAACAAGAAGCCAGGGAGTCTGTGGGAACATAAAGTCGTAGGAAAGGTTGAAACGAGATTATAACTGACTTTGAATGCCATAAGAACACTATGTGACTCTTAATTCTGAGTACAGAAAAGACACTGGAAACTTTTGAACAGGGAAATTATATAATTAGAACTATATTTAGTAGGTAGTCTTAATAATTCAGAAATGACTGGAATCATCCCTGAAACATTTGTGTTTGTGTTAAGACTCAGATGCAAAAATTACCTGTTTGCTAAAAGAATTCCCTTCCTTGGAGGAGCCAGAGACCCTGTGTAAATTCAGAGACCCCAGTGGAGAGCCTAAATTGGGTGCCTAAAGCTGATTTTGTGTGAGTTTGGTTTGAAAGTACAATACGGTAGCTGGTTGGTATGTTTATTTGACTATGAATACTTGGCCTACCTACCACTCTATCATTTACACTGACTGGATTCTTTTGAGGCTGTATTTGTGTTTGCAACCTCTAGATTGACATTTTAGCCAAGATGCGTGAGAAAATCTCTTACCAAGAATGATTCTGATGCCTTTTAAAGTCATTAAGGGAAAGTTCTCAAAGGCTCTGCGTACCTCTAGTAGCTTCTAATGCATTCATTGTTTTGTTCATTAGCCTAGTATGTCAGAAGTATCTTGACATTTGACACTTCTGTTTTGAAACTAATGATTTATTTATTTAAGATAAGTGGGAGTTTTAAAGAAAAACAATTTGCCCTGGCAACAAAACACAAGGACAATTAATCACTAACTTTGGGAATTGAAGTGTAAACAGAAGATGAGATCATGGCTTTGCTGTTTATTCCTCTTCTCTGCAGATACTAGCCAAACTCACACCAGCCTTGTTACTGTAGAATGTACCTATCTGTACACAGTCACTTCCTTGACCACCATGGCTTGTTTGTTATTTTGGTTATCTGAGTTTTCCAGATAGCCGAAGTTTTACCTGACCATAATTAATAATAATAACCATCATCAGCATCATCATTATTGTTATTTAGTGTAATGCTTTTTAAAGTGCTTTATACAAATCCCTGCTTTCGTAGGTGAAACATGCTAACCCTTTCTTGGTGACCCAAGGACATTATTATGAATGTCAGTCATCTTGGGGATATTGAGTTGTTTAATGTTGCACGCCCTGCTTCGAACATTCCTGGACTATAATGCCTTTGCAATTCTTAGGTCTCCTTTATGTAGTGTTTTATTTTGTGTCTTTTTAAAAATCAGTTTATTAACTGAAATATGTTGTAAAATGGAAACCAGAGTGAAGGCCTAGGAAAGGCGTGAACTGGAGGACCCTATCTTGGTGACCTCTAACTCTGAGTTCTAATATTGATAATATAAGATATCCTGACCTGGCAGTTGAAGGTCCTGAGCTCTATTCCTGACTCTACCACAAACGGTCACAGGGCTGCCTCCTCTCTACTCTCAGTTATCCACCTGATAAAACAGGGGTTTGAACTAGCTGAGCTCTATGTTCTCTTCTAATTGTGATATGCTAGTATTCTAACAAGTCGTTACACCCACACATTCAATAGGCCAACTGGAGGATGGTGAGCAGAATTTTCAAGACACCAATTGTTTTCTGCTGAAGAACTTGGTGAACTTGAACTTGTTTATGGTCTATAACCATGCCATACAAAGTCAGTTAGTTAACGAGTAGTCATATGACTTGAGCATTAACACTTTCAGACTCAGCAGCTTCCTGCTTGTACTTTGGTATCCCCCAAAGTCTCTTGGATCCTATAGTGCCTGGGGCATGGACACTTTCAAGTGAAATCAACCAGGGATAACTTGGATCACGGGGAGACATAATGAGGGTCTGTGATAACAAACTCCCTCATAACTTGCAGGATAAAAGACATTTTCATGATGGCAGATACACAGTCATCATGTGCAGAGCCACACTATTCCAGACAACAGGTAAGCATGTTCTGGCTGAGGCCCATGGGAAAATCTCAGCCATCTATATCTTTAGGAACAGGGGATAGAAGGCTCTGGAAGCCTGGGAATTCAGCCTGCTGTTCGGAATAGAGTCCTGGAATATCAGAGCTGGGAGAGAAGGACCTGTAAGAGCTATTTCAATCCCCCTCCTTCTAGAGGAACCTGAGGTCCAGAGTGGGCCAGTGACTTGCTCAGGAGTAGACAGATAACCATGAGCATTTCCTGATAGCACTTTTGCTTTTGGAACTATTCTGACCCTGGAGAAAGGAACCCACCAGCCCAGAGAGTACATGACAAAAGACATAGGCACTTGGCCAAACAACTTTTCTGGCTCGAGGGCCTCTTGAAACTTTATCTTGGGGGCATGGACTGTCTCCCAGAGAGGATGTGGCTCAGTGACAGCTCCAGTCATAACCTAAACAGAAGGGTCACTGACCTTGGTTAATATTTGCAGCCCCTGCTAAGAATTGTAAAATTCTACAAAAATCATTTACCTCTGAGCACAAGCAAAAGATTGAGCCCTGGCTTCTGTTTGGACTGTCCCATTTCTAGGGTCATCATGTGAACATGATGGTGGGAAGTACATTATCAAATGAAGACACAAAATTCATAATAATAGAGAACCATCTGGCCAGGGATCACAGACTCTTCATTTTTCTATTTCTTATTATGGCAACCATATCCTTTCAGGCTATTGTTATTTAGGGCCCCAACACATGGATGCATGTCCTCAATTTGTTTTCTTTCAACTCAATTCAAAAAATATTTATGTACCAAATTCTGTCTGGACTGTAATGTGGAGGATGCCAAAAATTACTTATTTGTTGCATGAGCTTAATGAGCAAGTCCCCTGCCTCTGGGAATGTGAAATTTAGTAGGAGAGTAAGATAAGTAACTCAAATGGGTATGTGTTCAGGAACTGTCAGGGCATAGTTATAGCAATGAAAGATAGGAAGCCCCAGGGGTTTAAAGAAGGAAACAAATTCCATCCAGCTGAGGGGAATCATAAAACATTTAGGAAGAACAGAATGTTCTTTGAACTGAGGCCTGAAAGATGAATAGGAATTAGGGAGGTAGAAATAGTAGGTAGAGTTGGGGAAAGCAGGAGGAGCTTCTAGGCTAAGGGAATAGTGAAGTCCCGGGGGTATTCAGAATCTCCACCATCCCTCCTTTCCCATCACCACCTGCCATAGGAAAGGTGTTGAGGACAGGGAGCTGGGAAGAGAGATCTAAGGAAGAGAAGCCAGGATCTGTTTTCTATGAATTTTCAACTTAGTAGAAACAGCACAAACCTTGGCAAAACTAAGACAGGCCAGCAGATATTTTAATTAGGCAGATATTCAGGAAATGTGCTGGATTATTCTGCGGTCAATTTAGTTAATCTGGGAACGATATTCCTCAGAATCTCCCTTTCTGTATAGCTCCAGGGTACAGGGGGCCAAAAGAGAGGCATGTGTGAGTTTAGAACACAACAGTCCTTACTCTCTGAAGGCTATTTTGTGATCAGCTACAGAGAATGAACAGACATAGATGCGCCCAGTGGGTTCCCACTTGCCCTCACTCTCCTCCACTCTGCAGTCAGCGCTTCTTTCCGACTACTGGCTCTGCTGACCAACAGTGGCTCAGACCCACCACCCACTCTGAACAGCTTCCACCTCTGTGGGTGGTTCAGAGGTGTTCAGAGTCAACAGCTTCTCGCAGACCTCTCCCCGTGGGCCCCCCTTCATGGGCCTACTTTGGCTTCCGAGAAGGTCTTGGATTCTCACATTCCCCTGCAGGTGCCAACATCTCCACCCACGTCCGGTTTTCAGGAGCACTGATTAGTGCCCGTGGTCCTCTGGCTCCCCAGTCCTGCTTTCACTTTCCCAGCTTCTCCTCTAGTCATGTGATTTCTGAGGCCCCAAATAGCTCTTACGTCTCATTGCTCACAGAGCAATTTCTCACTCTGCTTTCCTCACTGAACTCTGGCTGATGCAGGTACCGGCTTCAGAAGTACGGGGCTGTAGCAAACAGGACCCTTGGCTTGGGTTTTGGGACTGGCTAGCAAGTAGAGGTTAGAAGAGCAATGAGCAAACCGCCACGGGGGGGAGCTTGACAAAGACAACCTGCGTCACGTAGTGGTGAGACAATTGGTACAACCTGCCCGTGACAGTGTAGATGGCAGAAAAATGTACACAGTGCACTTGTGGATCTGCTAAGGAGATCTCTGGACAGTGTTGAAAGCGTCAGTATGTGTTTCTAGCTGTGCGTGGCAAGGCGCTTCTGGAAGGAGTAGTCCTTCAGGGTGCAAGCCTTGTGACTTGGCCTTGACAAAAGGCATGTGACATGTGGAGCTGGTGTGCCACTTCCAAGGGG